ATGTGCCAGCCGGGGTAGCCCCCTGTGGGGGGGGGCATGTGCCAGCCGGGGTAGCCCCCTGCTGTGGGGGGCATGTGCCAGCTGGGGTAGCCCCCTGTGGGGGGGGGCATGTGCCAGCTGGGGTAGCCCCCTGCTGTGGGGGGGCATGTGCCAGCTGGGGTAGCCCCCTGTGGGGGGGGGCATGTGCCAGCTGGGGTAGCCCACTCGGGGGGGGGGCATGTGCCAGCTGGGTTTTTACCATCCAGAACACGTGGCAGGGACCCCAGTGCTGCAGTGGCTCTCGCTGGTCCCATCATAGGTGCCAGCTGATGAGGCAGAAAGGAGACGATTCCCAGGCTGGGGTGCGGGAGGACTGGTCGTATCCTTGCCACTGGGCACTTTGGGGGGCAGTCATGGGGGGAAGAGGGAGGACCCTCAGCACAGTCCCTCTTCCATTTCCTCTCTGCTCCCCCATGGGTCGCTGCCCCATTCTATGGGTCTCAGTAGTGTCATGGTGCCCCTGCCCCCAGGCGTCTCTCTCCCATGTGGGTTGGTGCTGGCCAGGGGCTGTGATGATGGGAGGTGTCCCACACGCCCAGGGTCTGTTCAGTTCACAGCCCGCGCGTGGCACCCCGCAGTGCCACCCCAGGTCTGGGGAGGAGAGGAGCACCCATCGGGGAACCTCAGCCTGCCCTGGGGCGCCCATCCCCACCCACTGGGAGAGGAGTCCCGAGCACCCATCAGGAGATTGCTGCTTTGCACTGCATGCTCCCTGCGTGCACTTGGGGGATGGGCACCGAGCAAGCTGGGCGCACGCAGCTCCCCCCTCGGCTCGCTCCCACCTGCGCGGCAGGTCTCTGCTGATTTCACTCCCCATCTCCAGGGCCCCCAGCACCAGCCTGGACGAGGCTATTGGCTCCTGCACGGGCAGCTGGACAGGCCTGGAGTCACATGGCGCGAGCTCTGCCCTGGTCCTGCCACACTGGCCAGTGGTGGATTGGGAGGGGCAGCTTGGGCACCTGGTGCCCCTGGAGATGAAGCGACTGCAAATCACCATCAGCAGATGGGAGGGGCTGTCTGGACCGCAGGGGGGATCAGGGCTGGGGCGGGGGGATACAACTCTGGCTCCCCAGGCCAGCTCTGCAAGGGCACTCCCTCGCACCCTGGGCAGACAGGACCGGGGCTGGAGCTGGCCTGGCACTGCCCGGGCTGCACCCACTCTGAGAGACAAGGTGCAGGCTGTAGGGGCTGCCCCGCCAGCCCCTTCCCCAGCGCCAGGTCAGGCCCCAGCCCCATGGGAAGAGCCGGCTTGTGGCTACATGGGAGGCTGCTGGGGGAGGTGGGAGACGCCTGGAGCTCTGCAAGTGGAGCCCTCAGGGACCCAGCTGGGCCCTGCCGCCAGCCCCTCCTGCTGCTCCCCAGCTAACCCGACCTTGTCACCCTCTCTCCGCAGATTCGCCTGAGCGGGGGCCGGAGCCGCTTCGAGGGGCGGGTTGAGGTGGCGCTGGGCACTGGGAGCAGTGGGCGCCCCGCCTGGGGCCTGATCTGTGGCGATGGCTGGGGAACCCTGGAGGCCATGGTGGCTTGTCGCCAGCTGGGCCTGGGATTCGCTAACCATGGCTTACAAGTAGGTGTTAGTGCTGGCTTGGCTAACCGCGTCAGGCAGGGCCCAGTACCCTGGCAGGGTGAGGGCAGCATGCTGGGTTCGCAGGGCCGGCTGGCTGTGGGGCGGGGCTGCATGCTCACGGCCCACAGGGCTTCTTCACAGATCCGCATAGTAGGAGGAAGGGCCCCCACCGAGGGCCGCGTGGAGGTGAAGCGAGGCAGTAAGTGGGGAACGGTCTGCAGTGAGGGCTGGACCACCAAGGAAGCCATAGTGGTATGTCGCCAGCTCGGCCTGGGCTACTCCTTGCATGCAGTGATGGTAGGTGCTGGAGGGGCCCAGGCCTCAGGGCGTGGGGGGCAGGGGTTCGCCCACCGGGACTGGCTCAGGGCTTGCTCGCAGGGCCCAGGCAGTGCAGGGAGGGAAGCTTGGGGGCTTGGTCTCTGGGAGCTGCTGCCCAGCATCCGGGAAGGTACGCACCGGTCTCGCCGGGGGTGGGGAGGGGGAATGGCACAGGCACGGCACACACAAGTGTGGGGCAGGAGGGGGCATGCCCGGGGCTCGGTGCCTGGCTTGCCGTGCGGAGGGGCAGGGGGCACATGGGACTCTGACCAGCCCGGCGTCTCTCTCAGGAGACGTGGTACTGGGATGCCAGCAACGTGACGGAGATGGTGCTGAGCGGCGTGAGGTGCGCTGGCCACGAGATGGCGCTGAGCCACTGCCAGCACCATGGCAACAGCCTCAACTGCAAGAAGACGGGCACCCGCTTCGCCGCCGGGGTCATCTGCTCCGAGAGTGAGCAGGGGCGGGGGGCTCTTGGTCACCCTGGCCCCGCCTACTAGCAACTCACAGTGTGTCACGTGGGCTGCAGGTTGAAAACCACAGCATCCCCCACCCTAAAACTGCCCACAATCCCCTATGTCCAGCGCCCTCGCCCAGAGTGCGGCCAGGAGTGGAGCCCTGGGCGTGGGCCGGGCAGCAGCCGGCACCCCCAGCACTGGGCCAGGAGTGGAACCCCACGTAAAACCTGGGGCAAACCCCTCGTTCCAAGAGCGCCCCCCCAACCTACCCCCAGACCCACTCTCCTGCCCACTGCAGCACGCACCAGCCCCCGCTGGCAGGAGCGCTGGTGCAGGCTGCAAGGCCCTCGCTCCCCTTCAGCCAGCTCCACCCCTGCCAGGCCAGAGCAGCAACTTTTGAATTTTTTTTAGCACAGCTGGACCACAGCTGTGCACGAACTGGCCTGGCTGCATCCCCTTGTTGAGAACTGCTGCTCTGAGCCATCCTTTCAGCCCCAGCCCCGTGCTCTGATTGGCTGCCCTCAGGCCCCCTGCTTTGATTGGCTCAGACCTCGTCATCCCTGCAAACCAAATATGGCCTTGACCTCCTCTGTCCCCCCCAGCGCTGAGCAGGCCCCTCCCCCACTCCCCTCCCCCCAGAAAGGAGCAGGTGCCCCCCCATCCTCCTGCCCCCAGCGCTGAGCAGGCCCCTCTCCCACGCCCCTCCCCCCAGCACTGAGCAGGCCCCTCCCCCACTCCCCGCCCCCAGAAAGGAGCAGGTGCCCCCCCATCCTCCTCCCCCCAGCACTGAGCAGGCCTCTCGCCCCCAGCTGCCTCGGACCTGCTGCTGCACGCCCCGCTGGTCCAGGAGACGGCCTACATTGAGGACCGGCCCCTGCACATGCTGTACTGTGCAGCAGAGGAGAACTGCCTCTCCAGCAGCGCCCGCAACGCCAACTGGCCCTACGGGCACCGCCGCCTGCTGCGCTTCTCCTCCCAGATCCACAACAACGGCCGCGCCGACTTTCGCCCGAAGGCCGGGCGCCACTCCTGGGTCTGGCACGAATGCCATAGGTAAATGGGGGGCTCGCCATGGCTCAGACAGGCAGGGCGCGGGCCAGGGCCAAGCTGGGAGTGAAGCTCAACTGGGCCTAGATGGGGTCGGTGGAGGCCGAGGTCTGATGGGGCAGGGGGCGGGCAGGGTACAGGGGGAGGAGGCTGGGGCAGGGTACGGGGTGGGGGAGACCAAGGGGAGAGGAGGCTGGGGCAGAGTATGGGGGAGGCCGAGGGGGAGGAGGATGGGCAGGGCCCAGGGGAGGTCGAGGTCCGAGCGGGGAGGAGGCTGGGCATGGTCCGGGGAGGAGGCTGGGCAGGGTCCGGGGGAGGCTGAGGTCCGAGCGGGGAGGAGGCTGGGCAGGGTCCGGGGGAGGCCAGGGGAGCGTGCGGTGCCACGCCCTGTGGAGACCGTGGTGGGCCATGCTGGTATCTTGCCCGTGGGCTGCTGGCCAGCTGCTCAGTCACTGCCTGGTCTGCCCCAGGGTGAGGTCCTGCGGGGCTGTGGGAGTGGCAGTCCTGGGGCTGGACCCCCCCCATGCCCGGTCTCTTGGTCTCAGGATGGGGAGGGGGTGGGGGGGAGCCTTGCAGTCACTGAAGGGGGTGGAAGTGAGGGTAGCGCTTGCCACTGCATGACCCCTTGACCTAACAGCAGCCCCAGGAAGTCCTGGCTCCAGGCCTTACGGGGCAGCTGGTGCCTGGGTCGTCCTGTTCAAGCCATGGCGAGTCTCCTGTTTGCTCCATGGAGTTCAGTCCTGCTCTGGGGGGGCTCCCAGCTGGCAGGGCAGCTCTCAGGGGAAGGGCTATGGGAGAGGGTCGGGGGGGATGGAGGAGGCTGGCTTGGAGATGGGAGGGGAGAGCCCTGGGGGTGGCTGCTGTAGGGCAGGCTATGGGTGCTCTGAGGGAGGGGGATCTGTGGCTCCAGTGGCACAGAACTTGCATGGGGACGCAGTGGGGCTGTGAGCACTAACGTGGGGGGAGCAGGGTCCCCTGTGACCGCCCGTTCTGGGGGCTTTTCCTTGCTCCCCCTCGTTCTGCATGACAATGCAATTGCAGCAGGTGCTGGAGCGGGAGTCGCTGTGGGCTCGGGGTCTGTGTAGGGCTGCATGAGAAAGTGCCCGGGGGTATGACTGGGGCCCCTCTGGGGGTATGTGGCTGGGCTGCCTCCCAGTGCCTCTCTGGGACAGACAGACACACGTCCCGCTTTCCACTCCATGCCTCTTTCCAGGCTGCCCCTTCCCCAGGGCCATGTCCCCAGGATATTCCCAATATGCCGCCCCATGCATGTCTCTGGGCCGTTCTCCCTCCTCCATCCTCCCAGGCGTCCCCCCGGCTCGCACCCCACCCCCTGTGTGTGTCTCTGGGCTTCCCCCCCACCCCGGCTGCAGCACATCGCTGGGATCCCCCGTCTCTTGCCCCACCCACTGTGTGTCTGTGGGTGCAGCGCCTTCGGTTTGTGTCTCTTCCCAGGCACTATCACAGCATGGACATCTTCACCCACTACGACCTCCTGACCCCCAACGGCACCAAGGTAGCCGAGGGCCACAAGGCCAGCTTCTGCCTGGAGGACACGGAATGCCAGGAAGGTGGGTGCAGCGGCTTGGCACTGCCATGAGTCGTGCTGGAAGCGAGGGGAGAGCCCGGGGGGAGGGTGTCTCTGCCCACTGATCTCTCCTCCCTCTGGGGCTGCCTCAGGCTGGGCTTGCTGTGGGGCAGAGGGAGGGCAAGGGTAAGTGACCTCACCCCCCATTCCAGACGTGGCCAAGCGGTACGAGTGCGCTAACTTCGGAGAGCAGGGCATCACCGTGGGCTGCTGGGACCTGTACAGGCACGACATCGACTGCCAGTGGATCGACATCACTGACGTCCGGCCCGGCAACTACATCCTGCAGGTACGTGAGGGCAGAGGCTGCTGCGCCCTCCCCATGTGTGCGTGGGCAACTGCTGGGTACTCGGAGCCCCAGCCGCCGGCGCCTCTTCTCTGCCTCCCACTTCCTAGCCCATCAGAGCTTGCTTTCCAGAGTGTGTGTGTGGTGCGTGTGGAGTGGCTGTGTGCGTGAGTGGGGTCGGATGTGCACCTGGTGGGAGGGGAGGGGTGGTGTCTGGGCTGGGATGGGCCACTCTCGGATGGATGAGTTTATTGGTAGGTGCTGTCCTAGAGCTGAGGTTGCATTTAGTTTGGGGCAGGATGAGGCCATGGTCTCCTCTCCTGTGGCAGTGAGTTCCACAGTCCAGGCCTGGCCTCCAGGGCAGTTCTGTCTCCCACTCTCCCCACCTTGGGCTGCCAGGGTCAGTGTCCCTGCAATGTAGCTGTCACAAGCTGTCAGGGAGGGATCCGCAGGGCGTGGCCAGCAGCCCAGAGGCCTGGAGCTGGGCTCTGTACTTGGGGAAGACTGTGCAGAGCATGGCCCTGTGGGGAACGTGGGCCCAGCGCCCTGTGCCACTGGGTGTGTACCGGGTGGAGCTTTCTCAGGCCAGGGGCTTTGTGCATAGCTGGGTGAGCTAGGGGGTGGAGGAGGGGCACAAGGAGCCCTGGCCGGGGGGGGCGGAGGAGGGGCACCTGGAGCCCTGGCTGGGGGGGGAGGGGATGGCGGAGGGGCACATGGGTGTGGGGGCCCGGCAGTCCCTCAGCCCCGGGTGGTGCCCTTGGCAGGTGGTGATTAACCCCAACTACGAGGTGGCCGAGAGCGACTTCACCAACAATGCCATGAAGTGCAACTGCAAATACGACGGGCATCGCATCTGGGTGCACAACTGCCACATCGGTACGGGGCCGCGCCGGGGCCTGGGAGAGACGGGGGGAAGAAAGCGTTGGGGGTGGTGCAGGCGGGTGGGAGAGGTGCCAGCGTTGGGCACGTGGGTGATGTGGGGGGTAGATTTGTGGGGAGGGGAGGTGGCATTGGCTGCGGGGTAGGGCAGGCTGGTGCTGGGGAGATTGGTGGGAGGGGAGCTGGCACTGGCTGTGGGGCAGGGCTGCGCTGGGGCAGGGTGGGTGCTGGGAGTGTTGAGGGGTAGGTTGGGGGAAGGTTTGGGATGGTGGGAGGGGAGTGCTGTGGCAGGGGGTATTGAGGGCATGGGGGTGGGATAGGTTTTGGGGGATGGTGGGGAGGTGGCATTGGCTGCAGGTGTGGGGCAGGGTGGTGCTGGGGGTGGGCAGCTGGTGGGAGGGGAGGTGGCATTGGCTTCGCAGGCTGGGCTGGGCAGCACTGGGGCAGGGTCGTGCTGGGGGTGGGGAACTGGTGGGAGGGGAAGTGGCACTGGGGCAGGGGAGCTGGTGGGAGGGGAGGTGGCACTGGGGCAGGGTGTGGGGCAGGGGAGCTGATGGGAGAGGAGGTGGCGCTGGCTGTGGGGCTGGGCAGGGCAGCACTGGGGCAGGGTCGTGCTGGGGGTGGTGAGGGGTAGGTTGCGGGGGAGGTTTGGGATAGTGGGAGGAGGGGAGAGCTGTGGCAGGGTGTGTTGAGGGCATGGGGGCGGGATAGATTTGGGGGATGGTGGGGACCGTGGGGAGGTGGTACTGGCTGCGGGTGTGGGGCAGGGGAGCTAGTGGGAGAGGAGGTGGCGCTGGCTGTGGGGCTGGGCTGGGCAGGGCAGCGCTGGGGCAGGGTGGTGCTGGGGGTGGGGAGCTGGTAGGAGGGGAAGTGGCACTGGGGCAGGGGAGCTGGTGGGAGAGGAGGTGGCGCTGGCTGTGGGGCTGGGCTGGGCAGGGCAGCGCTGGGGCAG